TTTTTTTTTTTTTTTTTTGAGACGGAGTTTCACTCATGTTACCCAGGCTGGAGTGCAATGGCGCGATCTCGGCTCACCGCAACCTCCGCCTCCTGGGTTCGGGCAATTCTCCTGCCTCAGCCTCCTGAGTAGCTGGGATTACAGGCACGTGCCACCATGCCCAGCTGATTTTTTGTATTTTTAGTAGAGACGGGGTTTCACCATGTTGACCAGGATGGTCTCGATCTCTTGACCTCGTGATCCACCCGCCTCGGCCTCCCAAAGTGCTGGGATTACAGGCTTGAGCCACCGCGCCCGGCCTCAGAGGACCTTTGATAAATAAAACTAAGATGGTTATTGCGAAATGGGAGAGAGAAAACAGAAATTTAAACTGTTGATCCTTCTTTTGCTACTGTGATGTATGCTTATCTTCCGCATATTCTTTTCTCTTTGGTTCTAGGAGTCTACCAGTTATAGTGCATAACTTTGCCTTAATGTTTTTTAGACACATAACAAATACATAAGTAAATGTTTTCCATTACAAAATGCATCCCCATTTCAGAAATAAGAGTGGGTAGGGTGGGGTAGGAAATAGATCTTTGACTTTAAGAATACAATAACATATTAGAACACCCATTAATTAACCCATCTGGAATAAGAAATAAAAGGTGCCCCTCTGAAGCTACTGACATTTAAAGCAAAGCACTGAGTATCTTTGGGAGATAAAACAGCACACTTTAGACATAATTTTGCTTATGCTGATGCTCTGTAACAAGCTAAAAGACAGGAAAATTCCCAAGCTGGACAATAAAAAGGCAAATTTTTGAAAGGGCTGTTGATTTGCAGACTATGGTTTGAAATGCAGCTTTTTTGTGTCGTTCTCAATGTTTAGAATTCATGTACTACAGATGAAAAAACGGCAATTCTAAGTTATAAGAACAAATGAGTAATAACTAACATCTGATGGTTCTACTGTACTTCTAAACGTGTGGGAAATGATTTGATAATGAGAAAGGTAAATCTAAAACTGAGAACATTTTGTTAATGTAATTCTAGCTGTTTATCTCTCACCAATACAGTAAACCACCCTTAAGATCTAAAGCCAAACCATTTGTCTAATTTTTAGAGAAATCTCCCCTCCCTAGACAGATTAAAGTATTATAAAATAACTTAAATCTAGTTTTGGATTTCAAAGGGTTATTTACATAAATAGTATAAGACATTTTAGCTTCACTATGTAAGTAACTATTGTCTCTAATGTAAAGCATCTTGACGAGTATCTGAAACATGTTTTCAGATATACTTACTGTTTCAATTAATAACATACAACTATTTAAAAAGCACTAGTAAAAGTATTTCAAATATTTTCATACGCATATATATGGATATAAGATATCAAAATAACGTGTGGGGATGTGGCCGGTTTTTTTGCCCCCCACCTCCATATTTTTTTTTTTTTTTGGAAAGAGCTCCCCTTATTTGAAAAAGGTAGCAATCAGTGATTAAAGGCTAAATTCTCACCTTTCACTAATGGGGACAGTTCTACCAAGTCATCACACTGCAAACCCCTAAAAACCACCAATGACTAACCATCACTCTGGCAGTAAGAGCTCATGGTGCCTCTCACTAATAATGCATTTCTTGGGCGAACAGCAGACTTGAACTTTTCCACCTCTTGTTTATAGACCACTTGCAGCCTGAGAACCATCATTTGTACTTGTCCATTTTTCTATTTTATTAGCTGTACTTTGATGTATTTATCGGAAGTAGATCACACATCTAGTGAGTGGATAACACCATTCTAACTTATTACATTCCCTCTGACTGTGAATCTGTTCCTTCTCAAGGCCTTCCCTCTTACAGCAGTTACCATGGTCTTTTAATAGGTTATCTTTTGCATACAAGAGGAATACGGTATACTTTTTGAGTAAATCTAACCAGGGATCAGTCTTTAACACTAGGTAATACCAGTATTTGGACACAAGAAAGATTAAATAAATGTTCTAAAGTAAACCACGTGCTGGTCTTCAGTCTTTTGTTTCTTAACCACATTTCCCTTAATTCCCGTTATCTGCCTCAAGTTTTTTAGGCAGGGCAGAGAAGGACTCCATTCTTTTTCTCTCTGCTAGTCATCAATTCTATTCAACTCATATCAGGGTTCTTGAGTAATAAACAGACGTAAAGCAAGTTAGATGCTAGTTCTGGTGTATACACTGACCCTCTAGCACTTCTGGACCCCAAGACGAATAAATTCACCATCACCCCTACAGAGATGTGCCAGAGTCAACAGGCTCCATTTTCACAGTACAAATGAGATTTTTATGAGATAATAAAAATGAGTTACAAATAAAACCAGACATACAAAATTGGAATGTCAACTTTATAAATTAGGAAACCAAATTCTCATGAGAAGAAACCACAAACTTAGTGACTGGGAATTCCACATTTTTGGCACAGGGTGATGATGTAGAACTATCCGTTAAAAAAACAAAAAACTCTGTCAGATCCGGTTGCATTCCATCTCTATTTTTCTCCTTTAAATTTATTAAGTCTTCCTCTCAATTTTTGTAAATGGTACATTCCAACAACAGCAGCTAGCAATAACTTCATGTTATGTTTCCTCATTTAAAAGTCATTGCCAAATTTTTTCAGGTCGCTAAATATTCCCTGATAACAGGATTTAAAGCTAGGACAATTACTTTGTATGTCTACAGCACAACTCACAATTTTTCTACCAGTGGGCATTTAGGCAGCCAATTTGTTTTAACCATCATAAATTAATTCTGGGATGAAATTCTTAATCAAATCAGGGTCTACAGAACACCAAAAGATAACTTTCTAAATTATTTCTGGGTCAAAGAGTATAAAGTTGCTAAAGTTCCTGGTAACATAAAATCTACTTTGCATAAAGACCACAACAAATCCCATTCCCATACAACTAAGGAATATTTTTAATATTTGCAAATTTAATAGGTGAGAAAATGGTAATGCATTTCATTATCAGTAAAAATGCATTTCTTGGGCTAACAGTAGATCTGAACTTTTCCATATCATGTTTACAGACCACTTGCAGCCTGAGAACCATCATTCATACTTGTCCATATTAGTAAAAATGTTAGAGTAATGATTGTAAAAGCACTATAAAACTGTTCTTAAAAATGTAAAATGCATAAAAATAAAAACTTGTATGTTAGTGGTAAATGTCATGTAAGTCTTTCATTTTCATCACTGTATTTTTCAGTTTTTCTACAATTGGTGCTTTATCCAGATTATAGGCATAAACAACTTTGAAAAAGATTGGCAATTTTTATTTTAAATGCTAGTCAGGAGTTTTTCTAAAGTACCTCTGGGTTTCTAATGTAAGTTGTCATGGATAATAAATGAAAGTAGGATGAAGAAACATACACTGCAAATGACATTTAGACAAAAGAGTATCTCCAATCAAATTTACTTACTTTGTTTAAAAGCATGGTAGACGTTCAGCAGTGTCAGATGATCTCCATCTATGTGGGCAAATCTCATCTTGGCCTCATCTGCGGCTTTCTTGGCCTCCGTGGGGCGAACAAAACACTGTGGGACTAAACAAGGTTGGTATGGGCCCAACACAAACGCCCATATCGATGAGTCACGCATTCACAGATAGAGGAACAAGGCCTAGCTAGGTCAGTTCACAGAGCATAGGGCAGGGCAGGATGGCCTCCAACTGCATCTTGGACTGTTTACTACCTTGATTTGGTACATCAACACCTAACCACATCTGTAAGACAAGAGGGTTTCAAAGCTACAGAGTACCTGATTATTTTAACTAGATCTAAAAGTAGGCATCAAAACAGCTATTCTGAAGGCCATCGGGATACTAAAAAGCTCAACTTATTTAAAAAAAACCAGTGCTGATAGCTCTACCAATAACCAGGACAACGGTGTAAATTACCTTTCAGCTAACTGTAATTTTTCAAAAGGCCATCCACTAAATCCACTGAATGGCTATGAAAGTTAGGAAGCTATACTTGCCCACTGCAGAGCTAACAACAACTTTGAAACCAGTCTACTACCATATTTCTATCAGAATTTTTTCCCTAATACTGTGGTTATTATCAACTGGTGGGTATCACTATTAGCACCGGTGAGCAAAAGCATATGTAAACATAAAAATATCAAGAATTCTTGGAGTTTGATGATAGCAGTAGTGGTGGAAGGTTAAACCGCCTTTGAATTAAGAAAATTCAAAAAGGCTGGGATATTCAGCCTATCGTTTCAGCATTTTAACAAAAGGACTAGAAAATAAAGTCCCAAATTTAAAAAAGAAAAAAAACAAACTTATTTGAATCAAAACCTCAATATAAAGCAAAGTCCAATATTTCAAAAGTTGACAATTAGTCTGAAACAGTCATATCAAGGGTCATCAAAATATGTAACTACAGTTATTTGTTTAGAGCCTCAATATTAATGCACATAAAACTTTAAATTGTTACAAAGCATGTACTACATTTTTTGAAATACAACTTTCCTTAATTCAGTTTAGCAATTCCATAGTCATAGCAATATAAAAATAAAAAAACTTAACAGCTTGGGACTTTTTCAACACATTTTAAAAGCTCTTAAAACCTTGTCAATGAAAAAAATTCATAAATTATCAGTTCAGATAGAAGATAATGGGAATAATTGACAACAAGATAAAATACAGTATCATATTACTCTTTCCCATACAGTTTCCCCTTTAAAAAGATGCCAAAATAGCCAAATAGTGACAACAAAACATGATCATAATAAATATTAAAACTCTTGCTTAATATTATTGAAGCAAGGTAATTCATAAAAGTACACAAACTTCTCACAGCCGTGACTGTTAATGTGAACTGGCCACTAGAATTAAGTGGGAGTAAGTAGTCCTCTGAAAGTCCTCTAGATTTGCACTGTTAATATCAGGACTTCAAAACTTCAGAAACTATTTGAATGTCAAAGCATTACAAGCTCAGCAAACTGTTTTCGTTCCATGACTTCTTCCTCACCTCTGATTTCAACACTTTCCCTACAAATGATCTGTTTAAAAACAGTCCATTTACATTGCTGCACATAAATGTTCATTCTCCTGATTAGGCTAAAGATTTTTATTTGTAATAAATTAAAAAGTTCTATTTATTACAAATAAAACTGAGATGTAGTTGGAAGATTACAACTGCGTCACAATGACGAACTTTTTAAAGAGCTAATATTCTAAACTCAAACAATGGTAATCACATAGTATATCTGATAAGAGAACCTAGAGAAATAAAAACTAGGCAGATAGACAAATACATACATAATCCATTAGTTCCTGCCCCACACTTTCTCTAAAAACTAAAATCTTGGGAGAAGTACAACTGGGAGAATCTATAAAACAACATATAAGAAAGGCAGACAACAACCTACCACCACCTCCGCAAATGAAGCTACAATTTTAATTAAAGTGACTCAATACTGCCCTGCCCATCTGCTCTGAGTCTGATCAGTCATAACTCTGCAAGAAAACATTTTAGCTACTTCTTAAATAAAAAATAAACACCATTAGAATATACCATACATCTAAACTAAGCCACAATTTCATATTTAAATTTTTTTCAATTTATCCTTTAATTCCACAGAATATTTTGAAATATTTGCAGCATTAAGATCAATAAACCACTCAGCAATAGGAAGTCAGTTCTCTGCAGTACTATAACTAGTAGCAGAGAATATTTTGATCGTCAGTAAAAACCTATTTTCTATTTTTAGCTGTAAGAATAGCTATTCATTTGTTTCTTATTTCTTCTCCTTCAGGGAAATCTAATTTCCAAGTTACTATTCTTTTGTGGATTACACTTTATTGTTACTAAAAACAACCTAATTTCCTCAGCTTAATGGTCCAATTTCACAAAATTAGCAATTTTATCTATTAGGTATGTTTCTTTTACCAAGTGCTTTTCTACCATTGTAAAAGTATCATTATCAGATTAGATTTTAAACCTAAAATTATACATTACTATTTCTATTTACTTGATACCAAGTTTGAAATTCATGTTTGGCTGCCATTGGAGTACATATATAGAAAAGGCTCAACTTAATGTATGGCTTTAACTTTGCTACAGGTACATTTAATAGAGCCAAGTACTAGAGCTAAGTTGTTCTTGTACTTGCAGTTTAAAAAAGAAAAAAAAAAAATCTCACAAAGATAACAGTGATGGACCTTTAACCAAAGAATTCAGTTACAACTGCACTCAAACTTACTGCAATTTTTATTAGCACTCAAGAGAGCCAACGTTTTACTATCTTTTGTGCACAATGACTTATTTTACTTTTGTAAGTATTGTGTCATTAGGAAGCTATTTACAAGGTATTTAGGAAACAAAATTAATTCCTTAAAACCATCTATAAAATCCACTATCATACTAAAAATTAAAAAACAAAAACAAAAGTGAAGTCCACCCAAACTTTGAAGAGCTGGGCTTTTTTTGGTTCCTTTCCCTCTATTACCTGACAACATAGCAGTAATAGATAGGACCTCATTAGAACAGTTGTAGTCACAACTTGCAATAACCATTTTTGCGAGCTGTGGATCTAGAGGAAATTCTGCCATCATGGATCCCAATTCAGTCAGATCTCCATCATCATTTAAAGCAGCCAGATAATTCAAAAGTTCTAGGGCTCTCATTAGAGTTTCAGGAGCTAGGGGGAAAAAAAACAATCTATTAGGCACAGTGCCTTAAGCAAGCAAAAATATGACAAAGTACAAACTATTATAAGCAATCTCATTTTTCATTCTGCAGTGGACCAACCTCAAACTCAAATTGTCATCCTATTCAATTATGCACATCTACCAAACAATGAATCATAGAAACATTGCAAAATTTTTCTGTAGGCAAAACTGTCTTCTTCCAAAATATATTAAATAATTGCTAATTCATCAATGTGTTTATCAAACGCTTTTTTCCCAAAGAAAAATTAGGAAGTTTAATTCTCACATTTTCATGCCCAGAGGATAATTCAATTTACCTAACTCCTGCCAAAATAACTTTTGAAGAAAAAAAAAAGTGCTCATATAACTGTCACCTTTTTTGGTTTTGATGTTATCACATAATACTTATCTTGATGCATACTGGATGGAAAAGGCAAAAGGTATTTAATACATATATTAAACATGCTGCAGAAAAACAGAGTCAATTTTGGTTAAAAGACCTGATAAAAATGTTTTGATAAGTCATACCTGGGGGATCCATAAAATCAAAATGTACCAAATCATCAATACCAAGTTTCTTCAATTGTAACACAACTGATCCTAAATTGGAACGCAAAATCTCAGGATAGGTGTTATCCTAGCAAAAAACAAAAACATTTATTTGTTATGTTAAATATGCCTCAGCCTCTTTGTTCCAGAAAACAAAAATCTGTTCACTGCCTCCTGAGCTATTTGTTTTGGCATTACTTCTACACTATTGTCTCATGAGAGATAAATACTTGTAAGATCAGACTAGAGAGAAACCATTTTTCTCCAACTATCTTTATAGCATTCAAAGTGCTTGCTACTCACTGTCCATAAAACTCAGAACTGCAGAAAGAAATTTGTATATAGTCTTCACTTATCTATGGTTTTAATTTCCATGATTTCAGTTAACCACTATCAACATAAAAATTTTAAAGATTCCAGAAATGTAAACAATTCATCAATTGTAAATTGGGCACCATTCTGAGTAGTATGCTATATACACTATACACCCATTTGTCACTTAGCAACCATCTGTTATTAGATCAACTTTTGCAGTAACAAAGTGCTTGTGCTCAAGTAACCCTTTTTACTTAATAATGGTCCCAAAGTGCAAGAATAGTGATGCTGGCAATTTGGATATGCCAAAGAGAAGCCCTAAAGTGCTTCCTTCAAGTGAAAAATACAAAGTGTAAAAGAAAAAAAGTTGAAACCTAGCAAGGAAAGAAAAAAAAAAAAAAACCACATGCTGAGATTGTTAAGATCTAAAATAAGAATGCATCTTCTGTAAGTAATATGGTAAAGAAAGATAATTATACATAGTATATGTAAGATTCAGTACATTCTAGGTTTCAGGCATCCACTGCAGGTCTTGGAATGTATAACC